CTCACACTATGGAAATGTTCAGTTTCTTTAATGCAATTTCGCTTTTAATATAATACCCGATGGTATCTTAGTCCAGTTTCCTTAGAGAAACTGAGGTAGAACTGTGTGTAAGTGCTACCGTATTTAATTCGACATTACAATTTTTCTAACTGAGCATTACGATGCCGCATCAAACTTTAAATAAATATACAAAGATATGAAACAAATCATTTTAACGTATTATAGATCTACCTTGCATTATAAAACTAAAACAAATATATGGCACAATTCTAAAGTGCCTATATTTTAAAGTAATAGCACTTAAAAAGGCCTAGAAAGCAATGAATAGTAATGTAGTACCTATCTCAATAACAAATTTTTAGTTGCCTTTTAGTAAGAAATAACGTTAGTTCAGCGTCTGTTCTTATTTACCACGCATAACTCTGTTAACAGTAAATGAAAGAAATCTACCACCGACGGTACTAATAAACGACAAGTTAAATAATTAATTCTTCATTAATTAACGCAAAAAAGATCTTTTTACCGTTCGCATTTAGTTAGAACTTATTTACATAATGTTCCTTTTTAAGGAAAGACCAAGGTGTACAATGGTGACAATATGTAAAGCAATATGTAAAAACAACTTATCACAAAATTTTAAAAACAAATTAAGATACCTGTACTTGATTTTAAGATATCTGTGATATAAGGAAGGTAACTGGCAACTTTAAATTTCAGATTGGTTTTAAAATGAATATAATTCTGCATATTCAAAGAGAACGAGAGTTATTAAAATTAGTTTTTAAATCCCTATACATAAAAATAATCCATAAAAAAGTTACCAAACATCAAGTTTTAAATGCCAAAAGCGAATGTTCAGACAAAGCTCTGGAGCATTCTGAAATTTCGAAAAATCGTAAAACATCGCTGTATCGCCATCGCCAAATATACTTGCATTTACATATTGCTTGTTATCTTTTTTCATCGATTTTGAAGCTATTTTTCTAATATTCAGCGCTTCTAAATCGTTTGCAATATTTTGTATATCGCGCACTTCTTATACCATTTATAATAGTCTAATTTATATTTCCCAATGGTGGCGGTACCACTCTCCAGTAGGCGGTTTCGAGTCAAGAAGCAAATGGGGCGTAAAGAAGGTCAAGAAGGGCGGCCGTGGCGTACCTACCTATTTAGGAAATTGATATAATAAAATACTTTGAAAATACCTACTATTTTCAAGAATCAACATATTTTATGAAGCTATCTAAAACGTATAAATATAATTGTTATCTCATAGATAAGCATTAAAAAATTTGAATAGCATTACGTATGCGTATGCCTAATTCTGTTTAACAGTGATAAATCTTTGCAAGTTGGTAAGCAAAGACACGATTCATGCAATAAGCATGTTTCATCAGATATATGGGAGTATGTAATGGCTTGTCAATACAGCAAGTGCACTGGCATCATAAACAAGTAAAGGCATAGAAGTTGATGTATGTTGGAAATCAAATTTATAAAAGACAAATGTAGCTCTAGGAATATCTTACGTATGCCGCTAAGACAACCACTAAGGATTTCAACCCCCCGTGGATCAAACTCAGCAAATGAACAGGCTTCTTCTGCAAACTCGGTAGAGCTGCATTGACTCAGAACCTGTGATCACCTCACACAATTCACTGGCAGAGGACTCGAACCGTTTCTCTCACGCAGACTTGACGCAAGTGACAGTCGTTCTCTTTTCCCTTCCACTGCATCCATGGAGGAAAGATCAGAGGACGACGCCTTCCTTCCACCAGGGCTGACGCAGTACTGACGACCTTTGGTAATCTAAGGAGGTGCTTTGTACATTTCTTTACATCCAGAGCACGTTACCTTATCAGAGGTTCAGTGAGAATTCTGTACAAATCGAAAAGCAGGGACACTCCACAGAGAAACATTCATAACGTTCCTTCTTCCAGGACTGCATCCGTTCCTAGGGAGACTCCATGCCAGAATAATTCACGTCATGTGTTGCGGCAGTATCTTACTAAAGTTCGTAAAATCACGCTTCGCGCAATAATTCAGCTCTAACACAGGTATCGGTATCTGTAGAAATGTCTTATTATTTTTGTGTGCTTCCAATAATCCATATTCGTAAGTAAAACTGATAAAATTCATTCTAATCGTTATTTCATAACTATCTACACATATGTTGGAAAGTTAATTTTTTTAATCGTGGCAAGTTTCGTATTTCAAAATATCTAGATGACGGCAGTACAGTATTAAGTATTTAGAATAGGAATTTAGGTACTCTCCTATAAACTGTCGTTACCAATGTGTTTAGTTTGCCGAAATGCTTTTTTGAATAAAGCTATGAAGCCTTCTAGGTTACAACAACATTCGAATAAAATTAATACTGATAAAAAGAACAAAGCTTTATTCTGATTTCAAGGACTGGAAAAGGAATAATTAAAATAGCCAAGCATATCAAGTCCTTTTGGCTTGTAGTCTAAACAAGTTGATAAGGAACTATAAGCATCATATTATTTTATTACAACAGGCACTAACCATTTTAAGCTTTGGACTCAATTAATGCCAGAAACGGTGATCATTTTATTAGAGGCACCTAATAGGGGGCCACCCGTTACCTCCTATGAACGGACAGATAATTTTACATCCATGCCTTCTCTGGGGTTCGAACTCGGGCCCTTCCTTACGGCAATCAGAGTCATTAACCATTTTTCTGTACGAGCCTCATATAATACTTAATTATTAATCCAAGAAGCTTAAAGCACACGCAATTGGCGAGATATCAATCTTGCCGGCAGTTAAAGAGATGACAAAAACTATTCTTCATCCTAAGACATCGTTAGATATTATCAGAATAATTCCTTCAAGTAATAATATATAGTATATAATATAAATAACCATAATTATAGATAATAGGCAATAATATTTTAATATTTGGTAAAGTTGACTGTTATGGAAGAAGGGCTTCGGAGTTTTTTCTTATGATGGGGGCTGTGGTAACAAAAAAGTTGTGATCCTCTGTACTAAATTGATGCAAATAATTCCGCTGCTTTATCGAAATATCATTCTGTTCCACCATAATTGCAGTCTGTACTTTAAAATTATTAATTTAGTTACTCTTTACCTGTGTAATTGTTCGCTTATCATTTACTCATACATATGCTTACACAGAAGTCAACTTTTACCACATTGTTGTTTACGTTTAGTAGACGAACTACAATTATTTAAAGTCCTTCTACTCATATTTCTAATCAGTTCGCAAATGTAACTGTTGAAAATCATAGTATAATTTACATAATTTTCTCATCGTATATTATCTTCTGTTTCACATTTAGTTCACAATCAGCATATTCATTGTCACTTGAAACTTGCACATTTTGTTGAGAAATGTGAAAATAGGCCTTTACGAGTAAAAAACGTAAAAAAATCATCTGTTCCGCCATCAGAATTCGAATCACGGATCTTCCAATTTTCAAAAAGGTATATTAACCAGTTACTTTCCCCAGAACACACACGGACGAAGTGCAATATAATTTCTTACATTCTACCCCACCCCCATTTAAATGAACTTGGGCAGAGTCACGAGATCCACTTGACCGGGGCTATTATAGAATAAATGATGCTTTTCGGAAGAAGAAATAGGAAAAAGACAGTAGTGCTGTTGCCGGGATTCGAACCTACCATTTTCCAAGTGCTCGTTGGATGTGCTTAGTATTTACATTAGAAGAACACGCAGGGGGAAGAAGGAGGTAAATCCTTGAAATTTCGCGTGATAATGACACAAGAACCGTTTGATCTGCGCTAATCTGTAGTTAAGAAACGTCTTCCTATAATAAAAAGTCTGCAAAGAGTGCATTTTCCTAATGTAAAAGTTTTCTTTTTTATTTTAAATTAATTCGAATTGACAAAAGAAATATTTACCATTTTCCATGAACTATCATAAAAGTCTTAATAAATGCTGATTAGAATCAAATATGTTGCTAACTAATATGCATGCTGAATAGGCAACTGCCCACCACTGGATTAAAAAAATAACTAATACGCAAACTGTAAGCGAATAAAATTCATAAATGAATAAATGTGTATAAATGCAAATTAATTTTGTACATATTTCTCTCTCCTTTTATTATTATTATTTATTACCTTTCGGAGAGTCGATTATCAAGGGATCAAGGGAAATTGTTGCCTGTATCACCAATGTCGTTATATATTTAACATACTTTTATTTACTTATCCGCAGCTAATTTAAATAATTATTGCAAATTAAACTGAAACATATTAAACAAAGATACATTTATAAAAGTAGCACAAAAAATGGAATGAAAGTGATTTTTTTTCCCTTTATCTTAGCTGAATATTGAACATTTTTCAGCATTTAACACTTACTAAGTAAGAATTAAGGAAACAGAAATTATATTTTTAGTATAGAAAAAAATTGAAATTTTCAACACGAATATGTCGATTGAATTTCTGAATATAAAATGCAGAAAACTTTTACATAATAATTAAAAAATGACTTATTAGTTGGGACTTTGCCATTTTATACTACCAGCTATTTTCGAAATACTATCAGCTATTTTTGAAATATACATAAAAAAAATTAATACTTTTTGTTAGTGTTAAAATGGTCGCCTACTAGCTGCATTACTCCCTCGAGTTCCTTTTCTGCGGTCCGCAAAAATAATTAGAATGCTCTTTGTAATTATTTTCCACGTACATAATGATGCCAGTATATTTTCGCCCGGTACTATACAGTGTGTAGAGATGTGTAGTGAACATGCAGTTTTTCGATAGGCTATAGTTAGCACTGGTGCACTTCTTGCTTTCCGCATGAGACGTAACTGTTCTCACTGACTCACATTTCATCTCGGTATTATTCTCTCTGAAAAATTGCTTATAACTTGATTATTTTGATACAATTAAAGGGGCAGAGGGTTCTTAAAGCAATCAATATTTTACTAAAAGTAAGACAAATTTCCTTAACATTTATTTATTCCTAATATTTCCAGAAATGGACAGCTCCTGTCTTGCTGTTCTCCTTGCTATGCTGCTTTGCACTTCTTGATGGAAAGGAAATAAGTAGAGATAAGAGAGCTATCAAAGGTGGCAGCGGTAGTAAAACTTCAGGAAGCGGTCGTTTCGGCGGGCAGGGTAGTCAGTCCATAGGGACTGGGCATTTTGGTGGCCACGGCGGACACCATGGTGAATGGTGGAGAGAATGGTGGCAAAAATATATTGGTGAAGTAACAGATCCTACAGTCCGTCCTCTCATATATCCAACAGATGAGTATGGAAATAGGGTACCATGCCCTTGCCTTCTACCTGGTACTACACCGGTGCCACCTCAGACAAGGCCGCCTACTAGACCCCCAGACAGACCACCTCCTCCCCCTACAAGGCCACCTGTTAGACCTCCACCTCCTACTAGACCCCCAGTAAGGCCACCACCTGTCACCAGACCTCCTCCTCCTCCTCCAACAAGACCTCCAGTAAGACCACCGCCAGTTACCAGACCACCGCCTCCCCCACCTACAAGACCACCAGTAAGACCTCCTCCTCCACCACCACCACCCCCGCCAACACGACCTCCAGTAAGACCGCCCCCAGTTACAAGACCGCCCCCACCCCCTCCGACTAGACCACCAGTTAGACCCCCTCCACCTCCACCACCACCCCCTCCAACAAGACCACCTGTAAGACCACCTCCTCCGCCACCACCTACTAGACCACCAGTAAGGCCACCTCCACCTCCACCCCCAACAAGACCTCCAGTAAGACCACCGCCAGTTACTCGGCCACCTCCACCTCCTCCTACTAGACCTCCAGTAAGACCACCACCAGTTACAAGGCCACCACCACCTCCACCTACTAGACCACCTCCACCACCACCACCTCCAACAAGACCTCCAGTAAGACCACCACCAGTTACAAGACCACCACCGCCCCCACCTACTAGACCGCCAGTGCGACCACCTCCCCCACCAACAAGACCTCCAGTAAGACCACCACCAGTTACAAGGCCGCCACCGCCTCCACCTACTAGACCGCCAGTGCGGCCACCTCCACCTCCAACACCTCCACCTCCAACAAGACCTCCAGTAAGACCACCACCAGTTACAAGGCCACCACCGCCCCCACCTACTAGACCACCAGTGCGACCACCTCCCCCTCCACCACCTCCACCTCCAACAAGACCTCCAGTAAGGCCACCGCCAGTTACAAGGCCACCACCTCCTCCACCTACTAGACCACCGGTGTGTCCTCCTCCTCCTCCACCACCACCCCCTCCTACAAGACCTCCAGTAAGGCCACCTCCAGTTACACGACCACCACCTACTAGACCGCCAGTGAGGCCACCTCCCCCTCCACCACCGCCACCACCAACAAGACCGCCAGTAAGACCACCACCAGTTACAAGGCCACCACGACCCCCACCTACTAGACCACCAGTGCGGCCACCTCCCCCTCCACCATCACCTCCTCCTACTAGACCTCCAGTAAGACCACCACCAGTTACAAGGCCTCCACCACCACCACCTACTAGGCCACCAGTGCGACCGCCTCCACCACCACCTCCAACAAGACCTCCAGTAAGACCACCTCCTCCCCCTCCACCAACAAGGCCACCAGTAAGGCCACCACCACCTCCTCCTCCAACAAGACCACCAGTAAGACCCCCTCCACCACCTCCTCCAACAAAGACCTCCAGTAAGACCACCACCAGTTACAAGGCCACCCCCACCTCCCCCTACTAGGCCACCAGTAAGGCCACCCCCTACTAGACCACCTGTAAGACCTCCACCTCCACCTCCCCCAACAAGACCACCAGTAAGACCACCTCCCGCTACAAGGCCACCACCACCTCCTACTAGACCACCGGTAAGGCCTCCACCACCTCCTCCTCCCCCTCCTCCAACAAGACCGCCGGTAAGACCGCCTCCTCCGACACGACCGCCAGTGAGACCACCCCCACCAACAAGGCCTCCAGTTGGCCCACCACCTGAAGAAGACTGCGTTTCTGAAGGGCCACCACAGAAGGTTCCTAGACCAGACAGGCCAAGACCGGATGGATCTATGCCTCCATGTGCATTAGACGGAAGGAACTTTTGTATCCTTACTGACGACTATCCCGCGTAAGTAAATTTAGTTTGATTCAGTATTTAACATTTAAGTTATATAATAATATGCTAATGTGTCATCAGTAATTTGTTTTATTTATTTTTATCAATATTAAAATATTTAAATTATAAATGACTTAGCTACTTTCATGTAATTATCCATAAGATGTTTTTGAAGGAATTTTCTCTTTTTTTTCATCTGTGAAAACTGCATCCCATTTTTGAGAATGCAAAGTACGGGATCGTATATTCCACGACAGTGAATCTAGCTTCCATAATTCTGGCATTAGTACTTTCATTTTTGAAGACAGATATTTAAAACTGTGTTTTATGATGGATCAGCCTAAGAAAATGCCATAGCGAGAAAGGCATTTTGCCAAAAAAAAAATTAATATTCTAGATATAACAAATTTCTCCTGACATCTACGGCTTGCTTAATGCTACGTACGATTACTGTTTAGTACGAATAATAATGTTTAATACGAATGTCTTGGACATAGTTAACAGCAGACCTGGACGCCAGTGTACTACCTCACGTTCAACAGGTGTTACCCTTCAACAACGTTTTACTATCGTAACGGGTTTCAGGATGAAATGCTCCTTCAGTTTTAAAGCTCAAACAAATTTAAAAGAAGGAATAAGTTGAATACGGCCTTTGCACTTTTGACTACACAATGCTTGCGATGAGTTACTCTGATAATTGATTACTTGAAATGAGCAACATGTCACATAGAAGCTATCTTAATATATTTTATATGCGCGAAAAACTTAAGATGAAGACGGGGAATAAGACTGTTAAGCGTTTTGAAATTTGTTGTCAAACTGATCATTCATCGTTGAGGATGACATAAAAAAATCTAATCTCGTGTTTGCTACCTTATTCATTACTTTGATAAGTTTTTTCTGTACTCTTTTCCTTTAATGAGGAAGCTAGTTCTTTGAGTTATTCATAACGAATGCGAATGTAGAAGTTTTCTTTTATTGAACATTTGAAATGAGAATATGGAATGTCTACTACTTTAGTGCAGATGCAAATATTCCTTGGCGAAATGCTTCTGAAGTAAACATAGGAAGGACGTATGAGTAAATGACATAGATAGATCTTCAGTTACATACATGAACAGATTAGCTATCAGTCAACATTTATATCCTCATATATGCATATTCGTCACAAATACATACTTGCGTATATGTATATGCTTTTACTTATATGTCCTACTTTTAAGAGAAATTGAAACTCCAAGAAAACTTCGTTGCTTAGGCCTGAAATGTCGTACGTGGGTTGGTTATCATGAGAAATGTAAATGATCAAAATTTCAGACAAATAGGATGCCCCAGCAATCAAGCTTGAAGTTTCTTTTGGATAACATAAACAAAAAGAACTATAAAAACCAAACCTCAAACCTTGTACCGATAAAATCAATCGTTGTTGCACTGACAGCACGCAAGCATATCTCGACCACTCGGGCAAGATAGCGGTTAGTGACGCTAACTAGCGTACTAAAGGGCTTGAGTTTGAATTGTGGAGAAGGCATGTATGTTTGTAAATGTACAGTATCTATGCGGCTTGGAAGGCACTCAAAATATACGGCAAGCCGAACGTACTCGAGTGTTTTAGTGGTACGGGAAGAGGGAAGACACTCAAATTCGCTCCTGAGAGCTATTCTTCAAAACTGGAGGGCAAGTGAGCAACCTTGTAGAGACATTAGGTTATTTCAAAGCAGAAGCTGAAAAATGAGCAATGCCCTCCCCGGGATTCGAAACACGGACCTCTTGAATACGAGTCGAGCTTGCTGACCACTACACCACGAAGGCATGATAAAAAGGAAGAAATACCTTATAACCTATATGGTGTTCAAGGCTTATAGCAGCGAGAGACGCAGTCTTGCCTTCCTTGATACAATAAAATTCGTGGGTTTGCCGTGATTACGTCAAACAATTGAGATTAGCCACAACAACAATGGCAACAATCACGTCTCGACAGATATCTAAATAACATTATGAACAACTGGTAATCGCAGCACACATTAAACAAAATACTGATATAATTATGCATAAACTGAAAGAACGAATTGGAGGAGGTTCAACGCATCGACGCAAAGATATTGGAACAAATGCAATCCTGTGAGAACGGGTAGGGAAGACACCTGGGAAGCTCAATGATGAAGAACCATGCAGCAACCTCTGAGGTATTAGTGCGGCAGTGGAGGACAGTGACATCTTGAACCATATCCTGCTAAAACTTTTCTTCAACGATTGTTGCACCAAAGGCTTTTAGGACTGTAGAAGTTTCACATTTTCTACTTACGCTGAGGTCCTTCATCGGCGTAAGAGATTGCGAAGATTAAGAGAATGATTCAGAGTATGAACGGGATTAAATCCTCTTCTAGAGACGAGAGGATCTTCGCTTGTCGATACCACACAAATCGTATGGAAGACTATATTGAAAAGTATCATAGCAACCTTGTTATTAAATGCCTAGATCCCTATCTCCAAAAGCATCCAATCAGTACAGCAGTGTTACAGGAAGGCATAGAAACTGAAGATGCAAAGATTTGAAGGACACAATCGATGTAAAAATATTAATCAATTAATTATCTTCGTTGTCTTTCCTTTTTAAAGGTTTCAGTATTTGTATCTCTTTCTACCGAATCTTCACGCCATAGCTGAAGGCACCACCATAAACATGCACGTGTGTTTTTCTATTTATACGAAGAGTGGCTTTCGCGTCATTTTTTTCTTTAAATTTTATGTAATAAGACACGATAAACACTTTTCCAAAGCTTTGGAACTTCCAAATCATTTTTCTGAAAATGCATAATATTTTTATTCATCACTTTGCATCTTTTTTGGCTTTCAAAACATTTTGCAGAAGAGATATACTTCCTTAAAGTGGTGAAAATCTGCATTACTGTTTCAACATTGAAAGGATAATGAAGATGAGCTTGAGGGGAAAACCTGACTCAATTTTTATTTTTGCAGAGATTTCGTGAACAGAGTGGTGGATAAGAGTATGAGTAAAGTCCGTATAATGTACGAAGAGCTGCAAACGGTTGGTGATCCGGAACTCTTCAAGGACCAATACGGGGACAGTCCTGCTGCCCGTGGTAGCTTCGCTTGTGAAACCGAAGCCAACATTATGAGACCAGGTTGGGCCCAGGAAAGCGTCTCTGGAGACTGGATGGTTATCATTAACACCGATCTCTTCCCCCAGAAAGTCAGGACAGAAAGTTGTAGGTAAGTGAATTTCATTTCAATACTCTAAGTTCAAATGCTTGAAAGGAAAGGATGTTTGGTTAAAAGTTATGTTAAAAAGAGCAATTTCATTACCAGGAAACAGATAAAAAAAACGTGAATAAATTATATAACTGATGCTTGTTATAAAAGCTATTTCAGATCTAAAATAAAAGGACAATACAACGAGTAGTCGCTTTTTTTTGAAACATGGATTTAACTTATTCTCATCACTGAAAACTCTGCATCCGCGTCGTAATGGAGCGGTAGCTATAATGATTCGTTTCATAACTACTCCGACTACATTAAGTTTACAAATTCTTTTAGTAATACTCTTCAGAATGGAAAATAGTGTCTAATTAACAGAAATCAATTAAAAGTAAATATCTAGCGACTGAATATTGTAATATGATTCCTTCTATGCAATTTTGAAATAACATATTTAACCCAAATTCAACTTATCGTTAGTAAAAACGTAGATTACAAAACTCATCATCCTTTACTAAACATATTAGGTTTTTCAAAAATATTAAACTAATAATTATGTCTTGGACAATTTGTTGCATGCAAATGGTTCCAGTTTATTGATTGATAGAGGGAAAACAAAAGAAAAAACGAAATGTGATAACAGGTCATGAGACATGTTTGAACAGTTTAAGTTTCCGTTATGATCCTTTAAAATACTTTTCTATTAGTAAATAACTTTTTATTTAAGTACTAACGGAAGTACATGATGCCAGTTAAATTATATTGAGAGTAATGTATCTAACAACAAATATTGAGAGTAATGTATCTAACAACAGAGAGAGCGATACCGCTGTAATCCTTCTCTGATATCGATGCAAAAAATACGATTCATAATCATACATTTTTCAGTTTGATGCGATATAGCCCACATAAAAAATTCCGATATAAAAATAAACTAATTCTCTCTCTTTCTAATCAAATGGTCGTAAAAGCTCAAGTTCCATCCATTATTTCACTCTGTATTCAATTTTAGTGGGTTTAATATGGCCAAAAAATTTATCATAATTGATCAGAAATCAATAACGCGAATAAGCAAACAAACACACAAGCAGGCATTCTGCTTTATATACATAGATTTTGTAAAACTGACAAATTTTTGATAAACAAACTCTACAATTTGAAAGCGAGCAGTAGCAACACTTTCCCAAATAAAGCATTTTGATCTCCAAAGCGCGACACTGTCGCCACTCAGAAAAATGAGTGAGCAAAATTAGTCTTTACAGAGTTTTTAATTAATATTTCGGCTGATTAAAGTCGTACGAAAATGGGAACAATCGAAATGGTTTCCCATGGATTTTTGGAATTGGGAATAATGTACTTAATGTTTGGGAATGCTATTTTTATTTCATTGTTAAAGTTAGAAAATTTTTATTAACAAACTCTACGATTTGAAAGCGAGCAGTGACAGCACTTCTCAAAATAAAGCTGATTTTTATCTTCAGCGTGCAAGACTGTTGCTACTCGGAAAAATGAGGAAAGTTAAGGTTTAAAGAGTTTTTAATTAATATCTCTCATTTTTAGCTCTTTTTTGGGGGGAGTGGACGTCGACCTTTCTCATGACCCAGAAAAGAATTGTAGAAAGTTTGTAGACGATAGCTATAGTAGTTACTGAGTTAATCGCGAACAAACACACAAAGAGACATTCTTCTTTAAATATATATAGATTCTACGTTATAAAAATTCTTAAATGCAATAAATAACTGGTCCAAACTGTAAATTATCAAAATTATGGAACATACTCGAATTTCATAGACCTTTTGGTGGTAGGAGGTCGAAAACACTAATTCTAGGTCATATTAAAATCGATTTCATAAAATAAAAAATTTTTGAAACGTTTAGCATAGCTTTTTTTTAGCAGGAATCTGAAACTCCTTATATCTCCACCTTTTTTGATAAAAAGAAAAGTTATCAGGACTAGTATTTCTTCTTATCTGCTTTGCGAACATGAAGTGTCTTGACGAGATGAAGAGTCTGACTACAAACTATGTCCTATGGAGTGTAAAAGAGACGATAAGATGAGAAGGGTTTAATTGCTCTTTATTCTCTACGATATTACAGGCGTTCCCGCACTTCGGGATACAAAGACCAGCTACTTGTGGTCTGAACGTAAAAATATAAGAACTACTGACTGACTAAATATAAATAAGAGCTAACTTTGAATACTTTACACAGATGACTAACACTAAGGTTGGTCTTTTAGATTATTACGTATGTAGGACGCAAACTGCGGAAAACTACAATACGTCTTAGATATCAAGAGGACTAAACCTCTGGCCTTAAAGGCGGACAGCAACTGATTGAAAGCTCGTGTGAAATACAATGGCAAAGAGGCTCACTTTCTCTCCATCTAACTCTGTTCTTGGCGAAACGCCACTACTTAAATACTTAAGCGTTAGCAAGTACAATTTGCATAAACAATTTAACGCGTTTATTCTGGCCGGAAGTTGAAAATAAGAGAGAACAGTAAAGTTTTAAACCAAAATAAACGTTAGTCAAACTTAAGATCCTTACAAAGTTTCTTTTAAAAATTAGGTTCTAAACTTTATATTTTCGGCTTATAATCATTTTAAAACAATTTTTAACTGTCGATTAAAAAAATTAATCTTAACTCAAATAATTTTGATTCTTAAGAAAAAAAGTTTTTTTAAGAGAACGACTTTTTTTTCCCTGCTGACCTAGCGTAAAATTTTCGTGAACTATTTTTAAACACCCAGCACATCGCATTGTAACAAAAACGTCAGTTTCCTTTCATCATCATAAAGCACTCTTCAAAGCTCTTTAAAATATTTACTTTGACAAATAACATAAAAGGAATTACAAACAAATACATTACAGCCTCCAGGTGGATTGCATAACTGTTTTGCTATCGCGCTTAAAGAAAACAGCGCAATCGTTCTTTTCTATCCACCAACAAAGGCACAATTCAAATTCAAACCTTAGGGGGAAAGGAGAAAATTCCCTTCGGCGAGTTCATCTTCAGAGTGAGGGGAGAAAAGTTATACAGCTTTTTGATTAGTTAAAACATGTAATTCGTCTTAGGAAAGAAGGATTTAATTATGAAACCACTGAATTACGCAGAGTTTATTCACATTTTCAAAATGACATTTTCTTTCCTGAAAATGAAATAACAGCAAAATTACTTTTTCTTTCCTGTAGAAGAAATAACAGTTTCTAGATTTCAAATGATCCTCTTCTCTCAGACAGCTAAAATCTGGTCAGAATAATGCAAAATTAGTTTAAAGGAATAGTATTGCTTTCTTATTGTTCCAATAAGGTGACCCTTTTTTTATATGAAAAATTTCTGAATAATCCTTCGTATATGAAATAATCATAACTGCAACATATCAAGATGTTGTAAGGATCTTAAGTTTTACTAACGTTTATTTTATTTTAAATCTTTACTATCACTTCTTATTTTCTACTTCCGGCCAGAATTATAAGCGTGAAGGAGTTTATGCAAAGTTGTCTGGCGAACGCCAAGTATTGTGTGGCCTTTTTGCAAGCAGAAGAGAGGAAGCCGTGAGTTCGAAGCAGGCCGCTTACCTTAGAAGGTTACGCAGTTGCTACTTTGCCTTCCAGGCCAGAGGTTTAATCCTCTTGATAAATTAAACGTATTGTAGTGTTCACAGTCTCTGTGCTACATACGCTTCCTGTTATTATAAGGCCATCTTATTCTAAAGTTAAATTGAGTTTAGTTTTATTTTGATATCTTTTAAGTTAGACCCGAGTGGAGGGTCATTGTATTCCGAAGTACGGAAGTCATTGTATATAAAGAGAAAAATAAAGGGTTTTGTCTACCCTTCGTCTGTATCCTGTCTACTTACTACAATTAGTGAACATAGCTTTAGTAAGCTCTCTGTTCTAGTCAGGTCATTGTATGTTTCCGAAGAAGGTTAGAAGAAACATTGAACCTGATAATGTGACATACTCGTCGCAGTGTTATCCATAAAAATAAAAGGCTCCATATATCTTTATGAACGGAAATGAGGGAAAAGACGTTCATTTGAAGTGCATTCCGTTTCTTTTGAACAGGAACATGAGAATTTTTCGTAGCCAATATCTGAATATTATGATAGTTTATGGTTCAGCCCAAATGAAATGCTGCTTTGTCGGTAACTACTAAACTGGAAATAAGACAAAATCGCGTCATGCAATGCTTCCTACACGATGATTAGAAAAATCCGCATCAAAGATAGTAGAAAACCTTCTGCCGATTTAGCGTTTAATGCATCTTATGTTCTTAAAATATTGCCAGCAATATAGACTATAGCATGTATTTTTATTTCCAGGCGTCCCAACGAGCCTTGCTCTTTCATATCTCCGTTCTATGACTCAACGTGCCAACAAAGATACAGTTTGCATCGTCTGCTTGCTGTGTACCCTCACGACCCCAACCGTAGCCCCGTTGTTGCGCTCTTCAAGTTCCCAGCTGGATGTTCTTGCCGAGTGGATCCCATTCGAAAGAATGACATCGAACAGAGGAAAATCAAACGATAAAAAATAGAAATAAGCAATCAGATAAGTGAATTGCATGGAACTTAATACAAATGAAGCAGGAATAGTGGCAAAGACGAACACATTTGGAAAAGACTCTTAGTTTTTGAAAGGTGCTAATCGTTGAGTAACGGACTAATAACCATTTCACTGTCCTTTACACAGAGATTTTGTTGGAAGAATAGACTTTTTAACCTGTAAATACAACTACGAGCTTCCATTATCAGAAGAATTTTATTAATAGAAATGGAGATTTAAATACTTTTTGTTTATATTTATCTGTAAAGTACGATGTCTAAGCTGCCATAAAATTAAATTCAAATTGCCAATTATGATAATAATGAGACCAAGGATTTTGTAGCATTTACTTTGTAACTGGTATTAAATGAAGACGCTGGTAAGTCAAAAAATCGACAGGGAACGTACGGGAAACTTTTATTTGCCCATTAACATCATATCTTTTAGAAAATTATATAAATTTTACACATATTAATTATGACCATTATGATCTCTTTACTAACGCACATTTATATTTCCTTTCGTCTTAGAACAGAATAATGAAATTGTAAAAACAATTTAAAGTGCTGCAAATTGTCTAAAAGCAAAAGATTAGTATAAATTATTTTCATATCAGAATTTATTACATTTGTTATTAATTTTATAATTTCATATTAGAGATTTTGAAAGCAATTTTTAACATTTTATGGCTATATTTGTGTTCATATTATACCTTAAAATTTAAATGAATTTAGAAGGACTTTCTTAAATTAAAAAAAAAAAAATTCTTCTAACATTTGACACACTGTAAAGTATTCTGTCAGTATTAAAGACATCTGTCTGTTCAATAATGTCAGTATTACTATACTTCCACTGAAAGGTATCTGTCAGTAATTATAATCAGGAGTAAGAAATAGTAAAGAAAATGTATAGATAAGAATAAAGAGTTGCAGAATCTCTTTCTGAATTGAAAGAGAATTAACGTCTGTAGATTGTGCGAGCACAGCAGGAATCAGTATTGGAGCTTTCATTTGTAGATATATATGATAGGAACGTTTTGTTATGTATGAGTGTCTATAGATATTTAAGTTCAGCATTAATATTGATTTCTGGTTCTTAAATAATGTAAATACTTCAGATACTACAGCCTCAAATATCAGGTATTCCAGTCACATAAAGTGAAAAATTTGATAACTGTAATTTTGAGCAAGGAATTGTTTTATCTTTTATTTATGTTCTAGGAACAATTAAAATCTAAAGCAATTAAATTAAGCTTAAAATATTTGTAATATAATAATTACAATGTTAAGCATTTTAAAGCTAATAGATCGAGAAAAACAATGTAAAGCAGCATCTGTTATCAAAACAAAAGCATTTACTGTAAATAATATTTTGTGGAAAATTTGCTATCGTAAGAAATATTCCTCTATGACTTTTTGTACTTTTCCTTTCAAAATAAAAGAACTGTTTTTAAGTCTTGCTTATCGGATATCATTTTTGGGCCTAATGTAAAACAGTAAGCTACTAAACCCAATGCTTTAGGAAAACATGTATATTTATATTTTATCATTGATAAACACACAATCATTTACGAAAGTTCTTAGATATTTAAAGTTTAATTAAAGGTAAATATTAAAGCGTTTACCATACTAATATATTCTAATGTGTTAGTTTAACTGCGAAATTTTGAAATTTTTTATGAACGTGTTAAAGCAATACTCTCAAGTTAATCATTAACCATTATAAAAGCACACATTCTAATTGAAAATACATAAATATGATCTAATAAAAAGAAAGAAGAAACATTTTTGTGAAAAAAGCATTCATCTGTCTGCTGCCGAAAACACAATAGTAGTGAGCATTGAAATCTTTATATTTACTTTATTAAAGAAATTGCTTCAAAAAGCAAGCTTACAACCTTGCGATTCCTAAAAAACATCACAATTTCAACAAAAACAATTTTTTATCTTATATAATATGTATTAAATGTTTATAAAATACTGTCTAGACACCAAATAATAAGCGTTTTAGCAGCTTTATAGTGGTTTTAAAATTTTTTTTAATCTATTAAAAAGCTGATGGCATAGTCACAGTGACTAGTCGGTGGCCACATTAAGCAGCGAGCCTCTGGTTCTTCATTGAGTTTCTCAAATTTTTAATGAAAGAAACGTCTCGTTAAGCACTGGAACGCAGCAATGCGTATTTTCATCATAAACCTTATTTTCTCGGAGAGTTTTCTTTGTTAAATGTCAAATAATTCAGTTTCTTTGCAAGCCGTGGAATTTTGACTGCCGATATATTACGCTATTATATTGTCACCCTATTCGACTGTAAATGATAAAATTCCTTGAGCATTAAACCATTTTCGGCAGGGCATCAGACATCGGAACTAAGGATTATATTTATGACTATCGCATATAAATTTATTTAAAAAAAAATAGCTAATCTTCCTTTTATTTTACGCAAACGGCCAAATACACAACGATTTTTGTGTCAAATGAAAGTATTATTACAAAAAATTAATAAATCTAAAATGTTAATACGAGTAACTATTTTAAGAAGATATTTTCTGTTTCATAGGCTTTTATTTGATGTAAACTATAATCCCAATAGCAATAAGGTCTTATTGTGGGAAACAAATACAGTATCCTCTGGAATGGATTTAACTTTGTTTTCACGTTGATATTTTTTGCATATAAACATGTAAACAAGTCTACTCGGGATCAAGTTTTGAAGGGACAACGGTTAGATTGACATTCTGTTAAAAAAAACTACATGAACTAATAAAAAGTCAGCTATACAGGAAGTACAAATGTAATTTGAAGAGACATGCAAATGACTACAGTTTCAACAACAATAACGTCATGGGACCCATTCAATGACGATTTATAGAGCATACCGTACACCATTTGAAAAGAGAGCTGTCTGCACTAAAGGCGAAAAATTTCTGCTTTGATACTACGCGGTGTGTACAAAGATGCCTTTCAGCTCGTATAGTATTACAAACATTTGTTTGATTAAGAGAGTGGTTTGTTTGAATAACCAGACAGATGACAGGTGAGAGCAGGGTCCGGACACCTGGGTGGCTTTCACTGACTATTCGGGTATCATCCGGATACCGCAACTCTCCAGAAAAACATTGCGAAACAGGGCCAGAATTTGGCATATTGGAAGACAGACGTACTGCAGATTCTTACAATAACCAATGCTTATTATACAATATATGACAATATAGAGATACTTTACATCAAAAAGTGGTGTTAATATGTTGAATTACGACAGTAGTAATACATCGCTATACATTGTGCATTTATAGTGCACTCGATATATTAATACGTCTAATAATAAAATTTCTCTACAGACATATTGCAGAGCAGTACCAGTGCAAATTATGCAACTTATAATTGTATACATTACACATTAATAATGCATGCATACATACATAACATAAAAGGTGCACTCGATATATTAATACATTATATATAATGCATAATACATCATACATTAATATTGCACTCGATATATGAATACATACAATAATAAAAATTCCTAAATTCTAAAGACATATTGCACAGCAGTAACAGTGCAGATTATGCGATTTATAACTATATATTTCGTTATACATTATACATTAATAATACATGCATTCATACATTACATAATTACATACATAAAATAAAAAGTGCAAGGCGATAGCCCAACACGTTTCGCTTTTCATTTTGGTTGAACAACATATCAGTTTCTCGATAGAAAAGTGACATGGAATCGGCCTAGAGGTACAGGCGCCCTGAATACGCAAATATTCGAGGAGATCGGAAATTAAGGGTAAAAACATGACCTCCTTATTATTCAATCGAATTACCTTTCTTTATACAACCGATATCATCAATATAATACCAAGCAGATATGATACCTGGCAGAAATTGGGATTAGGACACGAAGTCTGTTAAGGAGGCAGATTACCACTGATTTAAAGAATGAACAAAAGCTGTAGCGATTGCACTCAATCATTCTGGATTGTATCCAACTGGAAACATGTTGCCTTCAGTAATGATCTCGCGTATGTCTCTCATTGCTAACGACCGTCGCAAATGTTCCCAGGAGCAGAAGCAAAAATTCCCAGGAGAATTCTGTAAAATTCTATTCCGTGTACATTTGCGATGATACGTTGCGATGCCTATTTTATTTATATGAAGATAAATACAAGCTAGTTCTCTCACACCTTTATCGAGAGGAACACGGCCATTACAAGTAGTGTAAACAAGTGGGAAGTCATCCCTTTGGACAGCTCATTTAGCAATGCTTCAAAGCAGTCTGATGACTCGCATATATGTCGATGACATTCTGCAGCTGATTAAATTGCCTATGATATAAAGCTGCTTGGCATCATTAACCAACAAGATAACGATGGACCATATACTGCATGACTCTCAGAGTAACGCCTTCGAGGATTGGATAATTTTCCATTAATATTCAGTTATCCAGACATGACTGTGAAGGAACGTGCTTGTAGTATCCTCATAATATAATTGAATCAGCTGATCAGTTGTCGAAATTTATAGCAGAAGCTTCTGCAGAATAACATAAACAGTGACTCTGATTTTTGGTTTTGATCCTATATCTCTTTCTTTATACAGCTACCATCGCTTATTAAACTAAAGTGTAGTATTCTTGTTGCCACTATTTCTTAATATTTTCCCCCCTTCAAAATTCTTTGTATATATTTTAAGAAATATAGAGGCCTAATTTTAGAACTGCTACTAATTTGTTAAACCTGCATGCGTTTTTGCCACATATTGTATCAGGACTACTATTCCTTCTAATCTGTTTGGCAAACGTGACGGTCCTGACTAGACAGTGAGTTTGATTACAAACTATGTCCTATGGAGTATAGCAAGGATGACAAGATGAGAAGGGTTAAATTGCCCTTTATTTTCCACGATATTACAGGCGCTCCCGCAGTTCGGGATACAAAGACCAGCCACTTGTGGTTTGAACGTAAAATATATAAGAACTACTGACTAACTAAAATTTAAATAAAAGCTAACATTGAATACTTTACACAAATGACTAACACTAAGACTGGCCTTTTAAATTATTACGTATGTAGTACGCAGGCTGCGGAAAACTACAATACGTCTTCAGCTTTCGAGAGGAATAAAACCTCTGGCCTTAAAGGCAAGCAGCTACTGATGGCAAGCTCGCGTGAAATGCAGTGGTAAGGCGGCTCACGTTCCCTCTATCTAACTCTTGGCAGAAAGCCACAACTTAAATACTTAAGCGTTAGCAAGTACAATTTGCATAAATAAGTTAACGCGTTTATTCTGGCCGGAAGTGGAAAATAAAAGATGCTAGTAAAGTTTTAAAATAAAATAAAAGTTAGTAAAACTTAAGATCCTTACAAGTATATTGTTGATAGTATTTTTTTCCCTGAATGTTGTTTGTTGTTTGTTAGACAAGGCCCAATTAATTTGCAACTCCGTTAATTCTCGCCGGTTAGTGGAGAGTTGACTGCAGTTTTTTTCCTTCCTAATTTATTTTTCCGATAGTTACAGTGCATTCTTTTTGTTTCGAACACTGATTTAATTAATGTGATCAAGCGAACTTATATCTAAATTAAACTGCTGACTTAACAGTGCCACACTTCTTTCTTGCCATCACTTTATTCTAATGCAGTAAAATTCTTTAATCAAGTTTTCTTAAGGCAAAAGTAAAAAGATTAGGAAAACATTCGGTGTTTAAAATTCATCTCTACACTTATTTGTCAGGTTTCCAGCAAAATAACTTTTTGAAGTGCACAGTGCCTCATTTCTGTGCTACTATGAGTGAATAAAATCGGCACAGACGTGTAATAGTAGGACAAAGATTGCCTCTATTGTATTCCTGCAGGAAACATTGCCGCAACTCCTCAATACATTTCCTGGCATTATTTGAAATGTCTCATTCAAGTTCAAATATTTAGTAATTATTATTTCTTTAGTCTACTTTTGTTCAGATTTTCCAATAAAATATTTCTAATTCCACCGCTGCAATCTTTATTAGTCAGCTGTCATTTGATTTTATTGCCTCCAAGTATGTAATATTTCCTTATATATAGTTTGGAAACAGTTCAAACTTGTTTTCAAGCATTTGTAACATTCGGTAGATCAATTTTCAAATCAATGTGAAGAAATTTATTTCTATATTATTTTCTCAACGCGGCTTTAAAACATTTTTGCCTAAATGTTTCACTGTTTATTTATCACACCTGACAACAATAAATGGCTTGAAAACATTTTTTCCTTTCAATTGCTTTCTTGGTAACAGAGAAAGATGATTTCTTCAAGTCAGCCAAACTGCGTTTTACAAGTTTTCTATCTTACAACACCCCCCCCAAATCCTCTTTCCGACGACTAGATTAAAAATGCTATTAGATGCAGAAATTTCATTTAAATGTTTTCTAAATAGACTTAATATTAAAAACTTCATAAGTGATTAAA